CACAAACCAACATATTCACCACCGTATCCCTACTATCCAAGTCCTCACCTTTTCTACACTACCAATATCTCCTACCCCCGACCTCGCCCAAATTACACCAACCCGCCTACAGTTTCTTTCCAAATATCTCAGCCAAATTTTCAACAAACTCGTCCCCGACCTCCTTACCACCAGAGATTTTCCCCACCAAATAGACCTACCTATAACTATCCCCAACCCACTGAAACCTACAATCAGAATCGTACCCGAACGTTCACCAACCTAGGTAGGCCTTTGGATCAGTTATATGAGCAATTAAAGGCTGCCGGTAAGATAGGTGTGATTCCCCCTCCAACTTACCCTTATGGCATGCCTGCTGGGTATAATCCACAGGCTACTTGTGCTTATCATTCAGGAGTACCTGGTCACTCCACTGCCAATTGTCGACTTCTCAAATATAAAGTTCAAGACGTGCTCGAAACAAGAGAAATTGTGATTAGGAAAAGAGAAGAGCAAGGACCAAATGTGAGCAAGAACCCCTTGCCGGAGCACACTGATACTGTCGGAGTTATTGTGGATGATAAGGAATTTGAAAAGCTTGTCCGAAGCATATCAAATGAAACAGAAGTGTTTGGGATAATGGATCAACCTTTTGTGATAGAGGAAGCATCGTATGAGGCAGATAAGAGGCCATTCATTTTAGACCTAACTTCATTCAATAGTGCAGCTTTAGAACCTGTGGTAATTGAATTCCCGAAACAAGTGCCGGTTTTAAGTTTACAGCAAGTGCCGTGGAATTATAATGAACCCATTTTGCAAATCGGGGGTAAACATATTTTGAATGATGAAGTGTCTGTTGTTACGAGGTCAGGAAAGATTACAAGTTCATCCACTGCTAGCATCCCAGTCCAAGTAAGCAATCGTGAACCGATTACCAAACCAGCAGTTACCGAAAAAGAAGCATGGGATTTTCTTAAAAGGCTTAAAAGAAGCGAGTACAATGTAGTCGAATAGTTGAACAAAATGACTGCCCAAATTTCCATCTTAGACTTGCTTTTCTTCTCTGACTTGCACAGAGATGCGTTACTTGAAGTTTTGACTAAGGCTCGGATTCCCAAGGATATTTCGGTTGACAATTTCTCGCACATAGTCGGAAATGTATTGACTACTAAACAAATCACTTTTTCTGATGAAGAGCTACCTGCAGAAGGAACTGGTCATAATAAAGCCTTATATGTAGCTGTGAGATGCAATGGGAAAATGTTGCCTAAAGTACTGATCGACAATGGGTCTGCCCTCAATATTTGTCCTTGGAGCACTTTGGTGAAGTTAGGGTTGCAAGATGTCAAATTAAAATCCTCAGAGACCATAGTTCGAGGATTCGATGGAGCCCAAAGGATCCATAGGAGAAGTAAATTTGGTGGTCGAAATAGGGCCCGCTCAATTTCAGATAGCCTGCCAAGTTATGCACTTTTCCAGTGTCTATAATGTTTTACTCGGGCGGCTGTGGATTCATAGCACTGGCGCTGTGCCCTCTTCCTTGCATCAAGTATTGAAATTTGTGGTGAACGACCAGCTGATAACCATTTTTGCTGAAGAAGATTGCATTGTAATTGCCAATTCTGAGCCTGAGGAGGATGGTAACCAAAATGCTTCAGTGTCTTCTTACCGTACAGCTGACATTGTCTCCGTGAGTTGGATAACAAGTGAGGCTTCAAAAGACGAAATGGTTTTGCCAGTGGCCAGTGTTATGATGGCTAAGGAAATAATTCGCGGAGGATATGAATTTGATAAGGGATTGGGACGCAATCTACAAGGCATTCTGAAACCCGTGGAACTCATCGAAAAGAAGGACCTATTTGGTTTGGGATTCCGTCCGACTGCCAGAGATATAAAAGAGATAAAAGCACGCAAGAAGGCAGAAAAGGAAGGCAAGTTAGGTGCTTTAGACATTCCACCACTACGCTATACCTTTCCAAAGCCGGTTGATGTCATTACATCTGAGTTTAGCCCAATTGACGAAGTGGAGACAAGCCTGACTCATTTGTTTGTGGGAGCAATATCCGAAGATTGTCCGTCAGATGATGCCGAATTCCTAGACATTCCCCAAAGAGCTATACACAACTCGACCGCCAAGTGCTTTCCCGTGTAAAAGGAGTTTCGGTAAATCTGCAGGGGGTTGTCATTTACCAAAATTCATGAAAACTATTTCTTGCATATGTAAATAGTTTAATGAAAGCATTTTTAGCAATTAAACTTTTGTCTTGTTTCACTTTGATTTGAAGCTTATGAAAATGCACAAGTAGTTTTTATCACAATTGTTCATTTATTTGTTTATTTGCGTGTTTTATTTGTTTATTGCCTTGAATTTCTTAATTCTTTCAGATGGCCAAAAATAAAATTATTTGACCTTATGGATATTACTGTTCTGGAATCCAATGATGACAATCTCTATATCACTCACGACTTGGAAATTATGCAATTTGAATTGCAAGACGAGAGTGATAATGAGGAGGTATATGATTTTTTCTCAAAAGATCTCGAACAATATGAGGAGAAACTTAAACCGAACCTAGAAGAAACAGAAATTGTCAACATTGGCACTGAGACTGAGGTTAAGGAGATACAAATCAGCATTCATTTGAACGAAAAGCAGAAAAAGGAGATGGTTGAATTTTTGTCTATGTTTCAAGATGTATTTGCATGGTCTTACGATGATATGACTGGCATTTCGACCAATATAGTGGTGCACAGATTGCCTACAGACCCAACTTTCCCACCAGTGAAGCAAAAGCCTCGTAAATTCAAACCAGACATGAGCCTCAAAATAAAGGAGCAAATTGAAAAGCAGCTTAAGACCAATATTATCATTGTATCTCATTACCCAGTTTGGCTCTCGAATCCAGTCCTTGTTCCAAAGAAGAATAGAGAAGTACGAGTCTGTGTTGATTATAGGGACCTTAATAAAACCAGTCCTAAAGATGACTTTCCATTGCCAAACATCCACATCATTCTGGACAACACTGCCCGACATGAAATTGAATCTTTTTGTGATTGTTTCGCTGGATACCATCAGATCTTAATGGCCAAAAAAGATAGAGAAAAAACTGGTTTTATCACCCCTTGGGGCACATTTTGCTATCGAGTAATGCCATTTGGTTTAAAGAATGCCGGACCTACTTATCAAAGGACTATGACTACTTTGTTTCACGATATGATCCACAAGGAGATGGAGGTTTATGTGGATGACATTATAATCAAGTCCAAGAAAGCAGAAGACCATTTGATTGATCTAAGAAAGTTGTTTGAAAGGTTGCGAAAGTACAATTTGAAGCTAAATCCTGTGAAATGCGCCTTCAGAGCACCAGCTGGTAAACTGCTGGGATTCATTGTCAGTAAAAAGGGCATAGAGATAGACCCAGCAAAGATCAAGGCAATTCGAGACATGCCAGTGCCAAAAATGCAGAAAGATGTGAACAGTTTCTTGGGGAAGATTAATTTCATTGGAAGATTCATTGCCCAATTAACCGCTACGTACGAGCCACTGTTCAAGTTGTTAAAAAAGAATGTGCCATTGCATTGGAATGAAGAGTGCCAACAAGCTTTTGACAAAATTAAGGATTATTTGCTGCACCCTCCAGTCCTAGTGCCACCCAAATCGGGCCGGCCTTTGAACATGTACTTATCTGTGCTTGACGGAGCAATAGGTTGTGTTCTGGGGCAACACGATGATTCCGAAAGGAAGGAGCAAGCCATCTACTATCTTAACAAGAAATTCACCCAGTATGAGGCTAATTATTCATTCATTGAGAAAAGCTGCTGTGCATTGGCCTAGGCAGCTCAAAAGTTGAGACACTACCTGCTAAGTCACACCACATATCTCATATCCCGCTCTGATCCTCTGAAATATCTCTTGGACAAGCCAATGCCAACTGGGCGTCTGGCCAAATGGCAGATGATTCTTTCGGAATTTGATATTGTTTTCACTTCGCAAAAGGCCGTCAAGGGACAAGCTATAGCCGATCATTTGGCAGAAAATCCAAATGAGGATGACTATCAACCGCTCCATACTTATTTCCCCGATGGGGAGGTTTTACTTGTTGCTGCTGCAGAAGATATGAGTGTGCCGTGCCCTGAATGGAGGTTGTTTTTCGATGGTGCCACTTATTCTTTCGGAGCCGGAATAGGAGCAGTTCTCGTATCTCCAGAAGGGAAGCATTACCTTGGGGCCGCTAAATTGCAATTTGCCTGCACAAACAATATGGCTGAGTATGAAGCCTGTATTTTTTGTCTTAAAATGGAATTTGGAAATGGAAGTTAAAGAGTTGATAGCCTTCAGTGATTTAGATTTACTCGTGCACCAAACATTGAAACTATGGATAACTAAAGATTCAAAGATCCTGCCATACCATTGTAATTTTCTCAATTTGGCTAAACAATTTCAAAGTTTGGAATTCAGACATCTCCCACGAGCCCGAAATGTATTTGCCGATGCTTTGGCCACTTTATCTTCTATGATACAATATCCGGACGAACTAGGAATCGAGCCTATCCGGATCCAATTCCAGGACAAGCTTGCTCATTGTTGGGTCGTAGACAAATCTTCTAGCAAAAGCCCTTGGTACAATGATATTAAGGAATTCATCAAAATCGGGTCTTATCCTCCAGAAGCTAGTGCAAATGACAAGGGTTTCCTACGCAGAATGGCCTCGAAGTTTTTCTTAAATGGAGAGGTATTGTACAAAGGGACCTCAGATTTGAATCTCTTAAGGTGCATCGATGAGGATGAAGCTCAGTACATGATGAAAGAGGTGCATAGCGGTGTTTGTGGACCTCACATGAATGGACATTTGTTAGCAAAGAAAATCATGAGAACCGGGTACTTTTGGCTTACCATGGAGCGCGATTGCATAGACTTTGTCCGGAGATGTATTAAATGTCAAGTGCATGGCGATGTTATACGCGTTCCTCCCACCGAATTGCATAACATGATTACCCCATAGCCCTGCTCAATGTGGGGTATGGATGTGATCGGCACAATTGACCCTCCTGCTTCAAATGGACATCGATTTATATTGGTGGCAATTGAGTACTTTACCAAGTGGGTCGAAGCAGAATCATTCAAGCACGTGACAAAGAAGGTGGTGGCAAATTTCTTAAGAAATCATATCATATGCCGATTTCGGGTGCCAGAAACATTGATTACAGACAATGCTAAGAATCTCAACAATGACAGGGTGGACGGGCTATGCGAACAGTTCAAAATCAGACATCGCAACTCTGCCATCTATAGACCGCAGATGAATGGAGCCGTGGAGGCCACAAACAAGAATTTGAAGAAGATCATTCGCAAGATGACTGAAAAGCATCGTGACTGGCATGAAAAGCTTCCTCATGCACTAATGGCATACCGGACTTCTATTCGAACTTCAACTGGAGCAACCCCCTACTCGCTCATGTATGGAATGGAAGCTGTGCTACCTGCCGAGGTCGAAATCCCTTCATTGCGTATTCTAATGGAAACTAAGTTGGAAGAGGCTGATTGGTTAAAGCAACGTTATGAACAACTGTCCTTGATTGATGAAAAATGACTTAATGCTATTTGTCATGGCCAATGCTACCAAAAATGCATGGCCCGGGCCTACAATAAGAAAGTCCATCGGCGTACATTTGAGGAAGGCGACAAAGTACTTAAACGAATTTTGCCAGTGCAGGATGAGGCCAAAGGCAAATTTGCTCCAAATTGGCAAAGGCCATTCATTGTTCAAAAGGTATTACCTGGCGGAGCACTCATTTTGGAATAGATGGATGGACAGACATTCCCTCAACCTATCAACTCAGACATGTGTAAGAAGTTTTTTATTTGATTATGCAAATTTCTTTTAGGAAATCACGCAAGGGACGAGACAAAAGTCAGGCCATCTTCCTTTCCAATCAAAACATTTCATCCCTAGTCATCCCCTTTGAGCTATCAAAATAATAATTTTCGTTTGACAGTCCCTGAAAATTGCAAACCCCCATACTGGGGCAAATTTATTTTGAAAGAAAGATGGAAAAGGAAAAACGAAAGAATCCCACACTGGGGCAAATTTAGTTTTTAAAAGAAAAATGCAAAAGTGAGGAAAATGCAATGAAAGATGCAAAGAGAGAAAAATTCCAATCAAACAGGGGCAAATTTTCCTCAGTGTCGTTCAAAATTGGAGATGATTTCAAAATGATGCAATCTCAGGTTATTTCACACTTTTCATTAAAATTTTTTTTTTTTGCTTTCAAGCCTCAACTTTCTTGAAACCTGACCTCATTACAAAAGCCCAAAAGTCCTGGCTTTCGTCACTTGCTGTATTTCTATTAGGGATTTTGCTAATCATGTAACGACCCCATTTTCCCCTAAGGCGAACCAGAGGGGTCAACGGGCCGCCTGCCCAGCTCTCGACAGGACTCAGTCGTTCACTACGGTCCTCAAGTAAATTTCAATATAAATCTCGTAATTACATCAAATCCTTCAAGAATTACATATCACAAACGTAGCGGAAAGTACACGTACATCAAATCAAGTCCAATCATTCATTACAAACTCTGCTACTAAGCTATTACACAAAAGGCAATCCAAATTCAAACCGTACACGGTATAATCCATCCATTTCAATTTCTAACAGTCACCCTAGCTCAACTATTATACAAAACAAATCCAAATCTAAGCTATGCAAGATACATGCCATCCAGGCACACAATTAATGTAATACGAACGCTTCCTTTGCCTCGATCCCTGTGGGGAGAAGAAAAACATTTGGGGGTGAGCTAGAAGCTCAGCGAGTGAACAGTAAAAGCAGTAACTAAATAAACTTAACAGTAGTGTATTTCAATGCTATCATGGAATAACGGTCCAATGTGCAAATAATGCTCTTTGGAGCCAGTGAAAATCCTTGTACTTAAAATCCAACACTCCCTTAGATCAAGTAAGCAAATAAACAGAAACAAGGAGCCATCGTGCTCCAAAGAAAGCATACCCAGTAATGGAGACGTTGGTTCTAAGCACAAGATTTTCCCAAGAACTCAATAAAGCCAAAATGTTATGGCACACACACATACACAATGATATGCAATCGTGTAAGCAATGCAAAAATTATTTCAAAAGTAACTTTTGGAGAAATAGTTAAGGTTCACTCACCAACCACGGCACACGAACCTTTTTCGAGCATACATCCTTGCCTTGATCAAGTCTAGATAACAAATAGCATGTCAAATAAAAGGCATTCTAAAACTAACAAGTTCCTGCCACCTTTTGGCATTTTAATCACAATTGAAAATACGCTTATCCGATTGACACGAATCTTATGGCATTATGAAGCTAAGACATATACCAACATTTTATATGAAGACCTCCAAAGTCAAAACATACAATTTCAGGGTCAAATATCGAAATCTAGGAGAGGACAGAAAACTGTCCGCAAAACAGGATTTATAGGCAATCAGGGGCAATTCAGTCATTTCTCAAGCTACAGAGGTCCAATCAATCTGAAATTTTGCAGGCAAGTAGTCAACTCATATATCTACAGGTTTCATATTTTGAGCAAGAGTTGATTCGGTCTTTAACATGGTCAAATGTACAGTACAAAAACAGGGCAGATTGACCCTAAGCTGGAATTCATATACTCTTGCTGAAATTCTTTTAAGTAAACCAAACTAGCATACTAAAGCTTCATGTATCCCAATATCAAGCTAGCATGCTATGGACAACCACTACTTATCACATGAGAGCAGAAATAAAGCAACGAAAGCTGCAATTCCACTTTCAATCCAACATTTGCGAATAACCATCATTAATCACGATTAAAGGCTAGAACTTCCACCTTAAGACACTAGAATAGCTTATTACTCATATACATGGCAAATCGAAGATGAAATCACATTACTAAAGTCCGGAAATACCACTAACCTGGGATTTCATCATTCCAACCTCCAAATCACAAGAATTTCCATAAAACTAGTCAAGATCACACAAATTCAAATCAATCATATACCCTCCAAAAATGGGACAGCATTTCCCCTTAATTTTACACATTTCCAACCTACCATTCAATACCAAATATACCTCCATTCAACCCCAATTTTACATACAATTATAGACTAGCAAATATACTCAATTAGAGCCACAATACCCCTTCAATTAAAGCCATATAAACCAATCATAAGAAAATCCCCAAATTAAACCCTAGAAACCGGAAATCACCTCACAAGTGGAAATTTTCCTCTAACAACCGGAATTAACGTATAAAGGCTCCATTTAACACCATTTCAAACCATCAATCCAACACTAATCATGCATTTCATATAAAATCAGAAAAATGCCCAATAAATTAGAAATTCACCATAGTTTCCTTAAACCCATGAAATACTCCACAATATAACACATTCAACCTCTACAAGTTACTAATATAGCATTATCAAAACAAGAAAGAGCTTCCTTAAACATCTTACCTCACAAATTCAAGAAGCTATCAACATGGAGCACCCCATCCAAATCCAATCCATCAAGAGCTTTAGTCCACCATAGTGAGCCCTTGTGTGAAGTATTGTCCAAAATCATTGGTGAAAACTCAAGATTTTGGTAGAAATTAAAACTAGAAAATGGAAGAGTTTTTCTTCTCTCAAGAGCTCGGTTGAGCTAGGAACAAAAATGAGATATTTTGGGTGCAAAACAAGATAAAAAGGTGCAGAAACAGTCGGTCAAACATGACAGCCGAAGCTGCCACGTCAGAATCCGGCCGGATTCTAGGCCGGATTCAAGGTGCAGAAACAGTCGGTCAAACATGACAGCCGAAGCTGCCACGTCAGAATCCGGCCGGATTCTAGGCCGGATTCAAGGCAGAAGCAAACTCAAATTTTTTTTCAAAATGGCTGGGCAATCCGGCCAGCTATCCGGCCAGAAACTGGCCGGATTTCCGGCCGGATTTGGCCCCCTTCACATTTCAAAATTTTTTCTTCTTTTCCAAGTTTAAAAGCTGCGCTCCTTCGCTCGTCCAACGAAAATATCCGTAAAGTGAAAACCCTAATTTTTGGGGCGTCACAAATCAACTGGCAAATGATGTCCGTAATGCCTTCACTTAATCTTATAAGGGAAGCGCGTTTTACTGATACCAGAAATCTTCAACTCATACTCCTGAGTCGATCATGGTCGAGTTTTTCCATTGTTCCTTAGGTGAAAACCCGAAAGGGTATCTCAAAAAAAAAAAAGAAAAAGAAAAAAAGAAAAAAAGAAAAAAAAAAGAGAAAAGAGAAGAAAAGAAATGGGTGGGGGCAACCTTGGTGAAAACCCGAAAGGGCCAAGGTAGGGGTCTGCAATGAGCGAGCACGAGGAGGAACAGCTGGTGACTTGGTTCATTTGGATTTCTCCTCATTTTTGTAATACTTCTGCCAACGTTGAATTCCAGAACAAAGATATCCAGGGTTTCAAACATGACATCTGTTGGCCGAAAGTTGTGTCATTTTGTGAAATAAATATTCTTTTGCAAATACATTCTTAGGACGCTAATTTTTTTTTTTCCAAATTGCTTGCATTCATGGCATTTTGTAGGCTTTAAGCATGGTCATGTTTGTATTCTTGTGCATATTCAATCCTGCATGACATGTGAATTATCTTGCATACCTTATTTTATTTTTAATCATTGAATTTTGGTGAATAACAATCCCCGTGGTTTATTTCAAAAGCATGCTTGGATTCAGTCATCTTTTGGAAACGGTTGACATTCAGCAAAGCCAGCTACGCAGACTTAACAGTATGGCAAAACACATACCTGGTCAATTTGAGAAATCGAAAAGTTTTGGAGCGAGAAATCCAATTCAATAGGATGCCGCAGCGAGAGCTGACAAAGAAGGAAGAAAAAGGCATCAAAAAATTCATGTTTACACGATTTCTCAAAGGAAAACGGATCAAATGATGGCGACAGTTTCTTTGTTTTTCTCTTTTGCAGGAAAATTTCATGCATGGATGGAAATGATCAACACTTCGCACTGGAGTCGGCATCGGAAAGAGTTCTCCAGTGAACAAAGGCGAATCTAAAATGCTGCAAGCAAATTTGGTCAAAAGATACAACAACATGGCAATGCAGAATCAACCATCGGGCTCAGAGGCAAGAACTTAACCTTTAATGAAAAATTTTGGGCTCTTTTCAGGTAAGTATATTGGAATGTCTCGATTTTAAATTTCCTATTTCGGGTCAGTCCCGATTTTAAATTTTCTGTTCGGGTCAGTCCTAATTTTAAATTTCTTGTCTCGAGTCAGTTTCGATTTTAGATTTTCTGTTCGGGTCAGTCCCGTTTAAATTTTCTGTCTCGGGTTAGTCCCGATTTTAAATTTTCTATCTCGGGCCAGTCTCGATTTTTTATTTTCTGTTCGGGTCAGTCCCGATTTTAAATTTCCTGTCTCGAGTCAGTCTCGATTTTAGATTTTCTGTTCGGGTCAGCCTTGTTTTAAATTTCCTGTCTCGGGTCAGTCCCGATTTTAAATTTACTGTTTCGGGTCAGTTTCGATTTTAAATTTCCTGTCTCGGGTCAGTCCCGTTTAAAGTTCCTGTCTCTGGTCAGTCTCGAT